TGAGGTTGGGTTTCCGGCTCCTGCTGCTAGGACCGTCCTGCTGGGTGTTGGTGCAGCAGGGCAGCAGCAGGTTTAGTCTTGTAGGACCAGCTCGCTCCCCAGAGGGCCTGAGCCTCCCTGTGCCCGACCGGGGCTGGGCGCCCCTTGCCGGCCTCTTCCCTGGCAACGGCACTGTCCCCTCGGCTACTTCAATGTCGCCGTATCCTGGTGTCTCGTCCCAGTGCTGATTCACTTGGGCTTTGGAGGCTGGTTTTTGATCCCATGTCCTGACCCAGGAAGTCTCAGCATTGCGCCTCAGTGTCATGTGCCATAGGGGACCAGGTGGGGGCTGGCCAGCAGGTCCAGTCTTGAGGGATGCCTCCTGAAGGTGGGAATGTCCCCAGGGCATGGGCCCTGCAGACACTTCCTCCCCTCCATGTGCACGGCGAGGCCCACCCTGAGCTCTGCCCTCCTGCTTCTGCATTTTCAGCCCCAGAATGGAGAAGAGCTCCACTTGTGGGGTTTAGATATGACCTGGCTGTCCCCAAGGCCCATGTGCTGKAATGTGTCCCCACAGTGAGGCACTCAGAGGCTGGGAGCTCGTCGGCCTGTGGTGTCTGGCCATGGGCCAGGATCTGGTGCAGGCCAGATGCAGTGATGGGTACAGCCCACGACCCTGTGGCTTTAAGAGAAGAGGGACCAGAGGAGACACAGGACCTCTCTCTCCTCATGCCAGCCAGGAGCCAGCACCAGGCTGGTCCACTGAACCTCCAGAACTGTGAGCCCAGACTCTGAGCCACCCAGCCTGTGACATCAAGTCATCAGCAATAGAAAGGGCCAATAGGCCCCCTGGACCCTGGCGGACCTCCAGCAGGAAGCTGGAGGGACAGTGGGGGTGCAGACTTGGCCTGGGGGCTGTCCTGCCTTCTCTTTCCCTGGTGGAGAGCCCTTGAGGAAGGCAGGCGGCGGGCCTTCTCAGCCCCATGGGAAGGGGCCACCCAGTGCCCCTGCTGGCCTCGCTGGCCCAGCCAACAACACCAAAACGTGTTGGGAATTTAAAAAGGCCACTCAAGGGGCTCCCCACCCGGAGCCGCAACCCCGGGCGCTAAGATGAGCACAGCCCGGTGCCCATCTCCTCCCGGGCACAGCTGCTACCAAAAGGCAGGAACAGTGCCCCCTTTCAGTTCTGACGGTGTCTGCGCCCAGGGCCATGGCAGGAGGGTAGTGCCCCACGGTGGGGCTCCCATGGTGGGTTGACCCTCAAGGGCTGGGGTCTGGAACCACACTGCAAGCTTGTTTTTATTGTTTATTTAAACACCAAACCCAAACCCAGCTTGTGGTCTGGCCACTTCTGTTGTCTGAGAGGTGGAGCAGGAGCTGGGGAGCGGCCCTGATGGTGAGTCTCTGGGGCTTGTCATGGGCAGAGGCCTGTCCAGGRCTGGGGGAGCCTCAGGTGGAGGCCAGGCCAAGGAGTCTGGGGCGGGGGCAGAGCCCAGGTGGTGGCTGCGGAGGAAAGTGGGACAACCTGGAGCACTGTCACACAATGGCTTGGTTCGGCAGCCCGTAGAGGACCAGGCCCAGGGTGGTGGAGAAGGGCTCCACACTGGGGACTGGCTGGAGGGGCACGGCCCGGTCCTGAGACGCCTCGTCTGTGGGACACAAAGGGAGCCCTGAGGGCCTGGAGTGGAGGCAGMGTGTCCACCCCCACTGAAGGTCAGGGCACAGGGGCCTCGCGGGCTCCCAGCGGGCCAGACCCCAGCTCAGGCCCTTGTGAGCTCCACCTGTGGTGGCTCTGCTCAGGCTGCAGCCACACGAGGGGACAGTGGCAGGATGACTCTGGCTCCCCACCACGTCCTGCTGTAGGTGGGCACGGCCCAGGACCAGGCTCTCYGACTGTTCCACATGGGCCAGTTCAGCCTCGCCATATCAGGGCCTTTCCGAACACCTGGGTCACTACCTGATAGCGGGGGTCACCTGGGCACGGTGTGGAAGTAATGGCCATCCCTGCTCAATGGCCAGGAGCCTGGGAAAGTGTCCAGTGCTATTTCTCGGGGCTAGGAAGGGCACTGCCCCACAGCACCCTGCTGACCCCTCACTCACCCACTCCTACTATCACTCACTTACACACTCACTCAGATTCATTTATTCACCCACTCACCCACCCACTCACCTGCTCACCCACTCACTTATTCACTCACCCACTCACCTATTCACTCACCCACCCACTCACCTGCTCACCCACTCACTTATTCACTCACCCACTCACCTATTCACTCACCTATTCACTCACCCACTTGCCTGTTCACTCACTCACCCACTCACCCACTTGCCTGTTCACTCACTCACCTACACACCTATTCACTCACCCACTTGCCTGTTCACTCACTCACTCACCCACTCACCTATGCACTCACCCACTCACCTATTCACTCACTTACTCACCCACTCACCTATTCACTCACTTACTCACCCACTCACCTATTCACTCACCCACCCACTCACTCACCCACATGCCTATTCACTCACCCACCCACTCACTCACCCACATGCCTATTCACTCACCCACTCACCTATGCACTCACCCACTCACCTATTCACTCACTTACTCACCCACTCACCTATTCACTCACTTACTCACCCACTCACCTGTTCACTCACTCACCCACTCACCCACTCGCCTGTTCACTCACCCACTCACCCACTCGCCTGTTCACTCCCTTATTTACTCACTGTACCAGCCTTCTCATTATCTCACAACTAACTGCCTTCTCGGTGCTCATGTGGGCCACTGCCAGCTGAGATCATTCTGGGGTAGCCTCTTGGTCAGGGTAGGTCACCCTAGTGTGTGGCTCAACGCTTGGCCTGCATGTTTTCTGATCTCGCTGCATCCACATGTGAAACATTGCTTTRCTGTTCCACATGCTGGCATCAGGGTCTGCTTGCTCTGATAGGTGGGCTTCATCTCATCTGCGAGAACAGTCACTTCCTGTCCCCTCCTGAGACTGTGCCCGTGATGCTGGGAGGCTGTGGGGACTCAGAAGCCCTATGGAGGCCACGGAGACTGGTCCCTGCGACTCCAACAGGACTCGCACCTCGGCCTGGAGGTTTCATGTCATGGCTGGGCTGACTGTCCCTGCCCTGGGTGTAGGGGAACCGCAGGTATCCCTGGGCTTTCCAGCTCTGTAGTTCAAGCCTGTGATGCTGAGAGGAAGTGGCAGCCCAGCGCTGGCCTGTTTCCCCAAGGGCTTGTGCTGGGTCTTGCCAGCGCTCCTCTGCGGAGGGTGCAGCGCCTCAGCTCGCACTGCCCGCTGTGCACGCAGCAGCAGCATCCTGCAGGACAGCTCTCTCTCTCTCTCTCTCTCTCTCTCTCTCTCTCTCTCTCTGGTGCTTAGCTCCTGGCTCAGAAACCCACTTCCTCAGCAGAGGCAGGGGCACCTGTCCCTGCAGGGCTCCAAGGACACCACCAGCCCAGGTGGCTGAGCCCAATGACAGAGGCAGGCAGGGGAGTAGAACTGCAGGAGGGAGGGGCGAGGAAGGTGGACAGGTGCTGCCTGACCTGGCTCAGCCATCTCGCTGCCTTCCATCTTCTGAAGGAGCCGGACCGTCTTCCCAATCGGCTTGCCCAGTGCCAGCAGATCTAGGGCAGAGCAGAGCCCTCAGATGGGCTGTGTGTGCCTGGCAGGCTTCCAGGGAACCCCAAAGGGCTCTGGGCGGCCAGGTGTCCACTCACTGTCCCACAGGACGCTGGCCCGCAATGCATTGTCCTGCAGTGATGTTGGCCACTGGTTGGCCACGATGCTCTGGACCCCCACCAGGCTCAGGAGGATGGCAGTCTGGACAGGCTTCTCCAGGGACAGCTGTGAGGTGCTGTGGGGACCCAGCACTGAGTGAGGGTTGGAGAGGGTGGGAGGATCCACTCAGCCACCCTGAGGTGGGCAACTCTGGATGGCGGTCCTCCCAGCTGCTGCTCCTCCGTCCCCAACCCCCTCAGCAGGCCCTGAAGCTGTGGCCAGGCCCAGGTTTCTGGAGAGTCCCTTCRCCACCCTCACTGCCCGAGACACTGCCTCCTGCACATCCTGGAACCTCAGAGCCCTGTGGAGCCCTGTTGTGTCGGGTACAGGAATACTGTGTCCTCCTGCCCTGTCACTGTGGGCTCATCTGCCGCCCYACCCCAGGTCCTGCCCGTGGGCAGGGACTCCAGGCACCTTTTGCTCTCYGAGACCTCCTTGTGCCTCCGCAGGCTCTCATAGGACCGTGTCAGGTGCAGCAGGACCATCATCTGGCACTCTGCAGGCACAACAGGGCCGGCTCAGCCACCGCCAAGGTCCATGCCACCAGAGAACCCCGGAAGATTGCAGAAACACTGACCATCAGCCTGAGGCTTGCACTTCCCATCCAACAGGCCTTCCTGCTCAGAGACCCACTCACCACATCTAGGCCAGACACCAGGAGGTGGGGATGGGCACTGGGCCCCCCAGCAGTTCCCTGCAGGCAGCATGGCCTCTGCCTCCTAAGGAGCTTGGAGCCCTGCTGTTCCACAGTGACGGAGGGCCCAGGCCTTCACCAGTGCAGAGAGGCCCCAGCTCTTGCCTGGGTTCTCCCTACGTGTGTGGTAGAGGAGGCCACAGGAAGGGCCAGCCAGAGATGCTRTGGGCAATGAAGGCTGACCAGGGGCCTCAGCTTGCTGGGGACATGGGACATTCTGGGAGGTGAGGCAGTCACTAGAGGACATAGAGGACAGCCAGTCACCCCGGGMAGGTGTGCCCGCTGAGACGGGTGCCAGAGTCCAGAGTGCGGCTGGGCGTGACAGTCTGCAGGAACCCCCCTGGGTGCAAAGGGGATGGCTGTCCACTTGCCCCTGAGGCCCGGCTGAGAGGGACTTCGGGGCTGTTCCTCAGGCCGCCTCTGTCAGGCCTTGTGCAAAGTGTCTCTTCTACTCCCTGCACCATCTCACTTGGAATCAGGCCCTCAAAAAGGCCTTGCCTGGACCCCTGCCTGGGATAAGGAATGGGCTTCCAGGTGCTGCCTRTGGCTGAGGCCCAGTGACAACTTAGAGGGGTGGGGGTTCTGCTGGCCCCACCCGCGTCTCCTGGTGCCTGCCCAGAGGCAAGGGGGGCTGGAAAGGAGACTTGGGCACCAGGCGACTGTGGTGGCCATGGGCACCCTGCTGTGGGACAAGCATCCAGGAGCTGGCCATGCAGCCACACGTGGGCCAGCACATCTCCTGAGGGCAGGAAGGGATACTCCAGAGGTCCCTTTGAAGGCCTCCTGTGGTCCATGCACAGCCATGGGTACCCCAGCAGCCCCACCAGGAGCAGCTCCTCATGGGGTGGGCCAGGCTGCCCCATGGGCGCCCSGGCAGCTGCAAGCCCTCTGTGTGAGGGGTGTCCAGCCTGGTGTCCTGTGGTCSGCTACACCCCTTCAGTGTGGGTGGAGTGTGGTACTGCATACAGGCTCCAGACACTGGGCCATGYCTGTCCCCTGGTTGTGCCTCTGGGGACTCCTCTCAGTCCACCTCGCCCCAAACAGCCGGTGTCCTTCCTTCCCCTCCCGCTGAACCACTCCTGCAGTTCTGTTGGAATCCAGTTCTGCACCCAGGGCACAGGGTTCCACCTGGAAGGCCCTCTGTTAACTGGCGGATGGTGAGAGAAACAGCAAGGCTCCAAGCCCCACCTTCAGACTGGAYGGGGGCTGGGGAGAAGAGCTGTAGCCCCAGCCCTCCTGGATCCAGCAGCCCAGCCCTGGAGGTGACACTACCCCAACACTTGACCCTGGCCTCTAGGTCTGGTGATCTGACCCTGGGGCCTGAGAAACAGAGGAGGGGGCTGAGGACTGCAGGACCCAGGAGTTCAGAACCCTGCGGCTGCCACACTGGAGCAAGCCAGGCGAGGGCTGCAGGGCCAGGCGGAGGAGGCCTGACTGCAGACAGGAGCTTGTGGCTGGAGGTGTCGGAAGAGGGGGTGTGGGGCGGGGCCGCCCCCTCCCAGCAGCCCAGGCCTTTGTCAGGTGGGGCGGGGTCTGCTCTGCCTCCCAGTGTGCTCACAGTGCACCTGCAGGTCCTGGTAGGTCTGACTGTGGTGRAGGGCACTCACCCTGCAGGTTCATGGCCACCAGTCTCTCCACTAGTATGTGGGACAGGAAGCTCTCCATCCCGTAGAAGAAGAACCCTCTGCAGCTGCCCAGCGCCTGCTCCCACTCTGCCTGGCTGCATGGGCGGCAAGAGGGGGTGCTGTGTGGCCAAGTGCTTGGGCCAGGCCTGCCCCTCCTGGGGATGYATCCTGAAGCAGGGTGTGTTCTGCCTTTGGCCTGCCACCCCACATCTGCCCTGGAACCCAGCTGATTTTCATTTTCCCATTGCCCATGGTGGCTTCTCTCCCATGGACTCCGTCTTAGAATGGATAGACACTCAGTAGGCAGGGTTGGCCCTGGAAAGTACTAGAAGGGGCTTCCTGGACAGCCAAGCCCAGGGGGTCAGGGAGGAGGCACCTCTAGGAGACAGTGGTGAGCCAGGATCCTCACCTCCTATGCCCCCTGCCACCTGCCCCACACCCACACCACACCACCCACAGGCAGTGGTGATGGGGGCTTGTGGCACAGAGCAGCCTGGCCTGGGGACCGCAGGGCTCCCTCCCTGCCGGTTGCTCCTGGGGTGTCAGGCCTGCGCCTTGGAGCTCAGACCCTGTGGAACCCTGAGGTCAACTAGGGACCCTGCTGGACCCCCCCTGGTGTGTGATCCTGGGGCTCCAGGCCCAACTTCACAGTGGGACAGCCATGGCACCCCCCACCCCAGCTCGATGCCTGGGGCCTTTGCAGGAGAGACCTGGGAAGAGGAGGGGAGAGAAGGGGCTCTGTGARGGTGCCACAAACGCTCGACCACTGGGGACTGGCTCCTGGAAACCCAAATCCGAACCTTGGAAAGTTCTGATTTCCCAGATGCCCCGACCATCGCAGAGTGTATGTCTCTTGGAATCTTTCCAGAATATCCCGAGTCACAGAGACAGGAGTCACCATCTCTGCAGGGAGAATTGGAGGGAGACGAAGTCCAGGCTCTGACGCTGGGACCTCCAGGGCTCGGCCCAAGCCCTCTCACCTCCTTGACTGGGGGTCAGATGGAAGGTCAGCCCTGCCCCTCCCTTGGGGAGAGACTGCTAACAGCAGTCTAGCAAAAGAGAGAGAGGGAATGTGCTCTCTCTCTCTCTCTCTCTCTCTCTCTCTCTCTCTCTCTCTTTCTCTCTCTCTCTCTCTCTCTCTCTCTCTCTCACATCTGCACACACACACACACACACACACACAGTGTTTGGAGCAGCAGGAGGCTCCAGATGCCATGTGGGGTCATTTCCAGGGGGTTGGAGGAGGAGCAGTGGCCCTGGAGCACTCACCAATGACACTGATGCTCTGGGCCTCGTCGAAGGGGTCTATGACGACTGGATCTCAGTCAAGGACAAGCAGGAGCACAGCGGGGGGATCTCGGGGCCAGGAGCACACACCCCTCAAAGGATACACCTGAAGCCGTCTGAGTCAATGGTGAGGCAATCTGGCGGGACGACCCGGAGCACGCCCTGCAACAGCAGACGTGTTGGGGCCATGGGCGGGGCCCTGGCACAGGCAGCAGTGCTGTGGATCCTGCCCGCCTCCCTGCCCTCATCCCTACCTTCACACCCTTCTTTGAGGGGCTTTTCCTCTTGAAGTCTCTGCTTCTGCCCTCCTTTTTCACTTCTGTTGAAGACAATGAGAGGAGGGCTGTGCTGCCGAGCCCTTGCAGAATCAGCAGGAGCACAGCTCATTCTAATTCTGTCAACTTGGAACAGCAATAGTTTCTGAAAGGCAAAGCCTCACAGGGCTGGGAAAGGCCCTCAAGAAAGGACCAGCCTCCAAAGGCTCCCAGACTCACCAGCTGCCCATTGGTATAGGGTAGGAGGCTCTCCAGTGTGCCCTCCGGGTGCAGAGGCCTCTGTGGGAGGACTCACAGCCCTCCCTTTTCCAAGGCCCCTCGAAGCTGGCAGATTTTCTTGGAGGCTCTGTGTACACAGCTGTGTACCCAAACGAACCTTCCCTTCTCTGCTGCCAGGCCCTGGGCTCCCTGTGCCTGCCTGGGCTCCCTGTGCCTGCCTGGGCTCACAGAGTAGAGGCCCTGCCTGGGCCAAGCCGTCCAGCTTCTCGGGAGCTCCACCAGGGAGCGAGCTCTGGAGCCTCTTGGGTGCCACCAGCTGCACACAGCCTGAACCCTCAGGATCCTGCTGCCCAGCCCCTGCAGGAGCTGTGCCTCTGCTTCCTGGGCCTGGAGCAGTGGCCCTGCAGGAATGCTTTTGTGGAAACTCTCAGGCTCCCCTTTCCATCCGGCTTCTTCCACGGGTGTGATTCCCTGAGCTCTGTCTTCACTGCCACAGGCGCCAACGTCCGTCCTTCCACTGCCACTGAAGAGTGCTCACGGCATAAACGCGCTATGAGTATCCACCCATCTCAATGGAGTGCTCAGTGACCGCCAACTGGCCGGCTGGCTTGATGGACACTTGGTCTCAGGGGCTTCTAGATTTGGGCCACGGCTGAAGAGCTGCTCTGCCTTTCTCATGCAGGTCTTATGCTTTCTAACCCCAGGAAGATTCCTGGGGGTACAGTGGCCGGGCCACATGGCAGGCCACGCTGGACTGGGGGTGGAACCCAGGGTCTCTACCACTGAGCTACCTCCCAGCCTTTTTATGTTTTATTTTGAGATAGGGCCTTGCTAAGCTGCTGAGACTGGCCTCCAACTTGGGATTCTCTTTCCTCAGCCTCCTAAGTCGCTGGGATGACAACCATGTGCCATTGTGCCTGGCCGGTGTTTAACTTTTCAAGAGACTTTTCAGCTGTTGTCCAAAGTGGCTGGGCCTTTTATCATTCCCCCTGGCAGCGAGGGAGGGCTCCAGTCTCTCCACACCCTTGCCAATCTTTGTCATGGTTGATCTTCGTGTATTTTATTTGTCTTCTGATGCACACAGCAGGCTGCTCCTGAGTCTGCAGGCTCCCCGTGGGCCAGGTCCACCAGCTGAGACAGGCGCTCTCCCACCCCTGGCTTCCTCAAGGGCCTGGAATCTCGCAGTCCTTCTGCTGAACAGACACCTGCCTCCTGCCCTGAGCTTGTGGAGCCCCTGTGCTTTGCCCAGGCCTCCCGCCTCTCCCTGCCACCCAGCTGGAGTGGGACAGGGAGGTGTCTGCACCTGGCTCACCTCACTTAGGCCACCTGCTTTGGCCCCTCCACTTGGCCCCAGACAAGGTCCCTTCTTTCTGCAGGGGCAGTGCCATGTGGGCCTGAGTGCGACGTCAGCCACTGGCTCCACACTGGCAGCAGGCCCCGTGTCCCGGCTGCTCTGAGCTTCGCGGAGCTGCCCCCGACACGAGGCTCGGCCGCCCATCCTCCCGCAGGCAGCGGTTGTGGCAGGTATCGTGGCACCCGGCCCCGTGGGTCTTTGCTCAGCCAAGTCTGTGGTGGCTTTCCTGCCCCTCCCCCAGGCACAAGGTCCTGAGCACCCAGGAGCGTTCGCGCCTGTTCACACCTGTCCCCGCGGCACGGCACGGCCCTCAGCGTGAGATCCAGGGTGTCTRTTTCTGTCTCTTTCGTGGTTGCTGAGGGCTCTGACTTTGCAGTCACCTTCAAGGGCATCCTGCCACCTTACACGCAGAATGAGAACCTTCCAGAACACTCCCTGACCTCCCGTGTTCTTGCATGTTGAAACTCCTCAATCAGTATGATTTTCTTCTTTGTTTTTGCTCAAATCTTTTTGAAAGATTTTAAAACGGGAAGAACTCATATATCTCTGTGCATCCCCTCCTTTCACCACGTCTGCTGGTGGGAGGTCTTTCCCTGACCTGTGGGTCCCTGCGCCAAGGTGGCTCACGCTCATCTGACCTTTGTCAGGGCCTCTCCCCTGGTTCCCTGTCCCAACTCCACTCACCCAGGGGACCCCAGGCTTTCCCTGGTCACCCCAGCCTTGCTTTGGCCTGAAAATCTGCAGGAGCACCCGAGGGCCTCCCAGGAGCACATCGGGGCCTCCTTTGTCTCAGTCTGGGTCTCAGGCAAATCTGGTCCTTGTTACATCATCTTGCACAGAAGCAAACGTGTGGTCTACTTATTTTGGTTAAATGTGGTATCTACTGAAGTGCAACGTCTGTGCCCAAGCTGCACATGCCCCCAGAGTAGAGGCGGGAGAACCTTCACAGACCAGGAGAATCTGTGCAGCCAGCACCAGTGACAGCACCATCAAATCCCGAATCCCCACGGCCATGCTCTCCAGGCGGAGCCCGTCCCCCTGGCCTCCCCWGCAGCTGCCACCAGCTAGCTTAAGTCTCTTCACGTGGCTGGTTGCCCACCACCTCCTGGGACGGTGTGTGYGAAGCTCTTCCTCCCTCCTGTGGGCACCTGTGAGTGAGCACCGCACAGAGCAGCACAGAGCGGCTGGACTGGCTGGGTGTGTTCTGAATGACCAAGCACCCWGGATGAGGTGGCAGGAGTCAACATTCTCCTGTCTGGAGAGCACCTGGGACATTTCCATTCTAAAATCAAACCCAGAGGTGCCTGGGCAGCTCTCACCTGGCTCCTCGCGGTGGAGGCGGTTGAACAGCATTTGGAGAGAGAACTCCCGCGACACAGAGGAGGCCGCCCCCTCGTGGAGCACAGAGAGTCCTTCCAGCGGCAGCTCAAGGAGGTGCTTGTCTGCCACCAGGATCACGTGGCTGGGACCCTCAGGCTGAGCTGCYAGTGTGGAGGGGACAGAGGCTCCTGGGGGGGCAGCAAGCCCCAACTGGCAGCTGGGCCCCTGGCCTGGCATGTCAGCCCTGAGACTTGGGAAGAAGTCTGACCCCAGCTGGGCTTGCAGAGAGACAGGGCTGCGGGGATGGCCAGGTCCCTGGGCTGTCCCTGGATTTGACTGCAAGGCCAGGCTCACAGCTTGGGCCTGGAGAGAGCCTCCGTCACRGTGGGGATCAGGGAGCATGGCTCCCTGCCTCGGGATTTCCACCCAAACGGATCCTTTAGAGGGTCCTTGGTAGAAGGGCAACATTACTCTGCTGACCCTGCAGCTTCTCCAGGTGACCAGAGACTGGGCCCCAGCTGAAATCCTGAAATCCTGAAAAACACTGAAATCCTGCCATTGGCTGTTTTCATTTGAAAACACACACAAAGAGAGGGCCTGGGACAGAGCCCGGCCTCCCCTCCTGATGCCAGGAGCCAGGGTAGAGGCTCAGCTCACGGTGGCCCCTGGAGTGGAGCTCTGTTGCCAGCCAGGACTGAGGGGGACTCCCAACCACTGCTGGAGACYCAGACCTCCCTCCCCAGGTGTGGGGTCCGCCGTCGGCAGCGCAGGACACCGTGTCCTGGCACTTCTGGGAATAGAGTGCTTTTCTGGCAGGGTCAGTGACCACCCCTGTCCTTGCTCAAGGATTCTTTGTGACAGAAAAGCAGACAATGAYATCTGCTGGGACAGGGCTGTGAGCACAGCCAGATGTCCCCAGGTTGAGGAACAAGAAGTGGGCCTGTGGGAAACAGGGACAGGCCTGGGAGCCAGCAGTGGCCAGGCAGGGCGAGGTGAGGGTGGGGGGGCCTCTCCCGTGAGCTCTCTAGGGTGGGCTTGGCAGCACGCTCTTCCCATCCCTCACTGGCCTCCCCGCCCCACAGGGCCTCTGGTCCGTGCCCATGGCTCTGGGCACCTCATGCACAAGGGTGGGGTGCACAAGGGTGGGGTGCACAAGGGTGGGGTGCAGGGTGGGGCCCCCCCTCAGGGTGCTTGACAGCTGCTGAGCACAGAGCCTCCAGGGCCTCCCCTCTCAGCCTGGCACCCAGGGCCCTGGGGGGGCCTCAAGTTGGGGCCAGCACATCTGTGTGGGGCTCCTGGTCCACCTCAGCGTTCCCCGGCGGGAGGGTGAGTCCCAGCCCACCTCCCCGCTTCCCCGCACCACCAGCTCCCACGGCCTGCCCTGTCTCCCCCCGCACCCCAGCTCCCAGGGTGCCGGGGCCTGCACCACTCCACACACCTTGTACGACAGACGTCCTCCGCTCTTTCTCTTTGCCCTTTGACTTCCCTGGGTCGGTCACAACCACAGGCATCTGTGTTCTGAAAGCCAAAGCTACGCATTGAGGCTTGAACCCAGACGACAGCACACACAGAACAGAAGAAGTGCCCCTCCGGCCTGTGTCTGGCTTTCTTACTGTGGGGGGTGGTCTTCCGGAGCCAGGGCTGGGCTGGCTTCCCAAAGCGTGAGCAGAGAAGGGCTCAGGGGGGTCTCTGCTCTGCTGCAGAGTGCCCATCCCCCAACCCCCCTGATTTCCTCCCCAGTTAGACCTGAGGGGCCAGACCTGGGCCCCAGGCCAGCTCCTTCTCCCTGCCRCGTCCAGCCTGGGGCTCACAGGCGTGGCAAGGCCCTCCTGCCACATGCCCAGGGCCTCTCTGGAGGYGGAGTCTGCCCGGTTCCCCCTCTGYAGTGGTAGCGAGCTCTGCGGTGCCACGGCCTCAGACCTGAGTCTCCAGGGGAGCAAGATCCAAGGAGAGAAGCCCTTGACCCCTGCTTCCCTCAGTGCCCCTGTTGGTGGGGTTCCGCGAGTCCTGGGTGTGGGAGCTGGCTTCCAGGCGGCTGGGCTGGCCGCCGCATTCCCGCGCCCGCACCTCTGCGTGGGCTCCCAGGAGGATGCGCGGAGCCCCAGCTCCCACACTCCACCCAGGGGAGGCCCCCATCGACCTCGCCCAGYCCTGCCACCGCCCCAGGGAAGTGGCCGGACATGCTCGGCAGCCAAAGGCCACATAGGCACCTGGACTCAGGGAGGCTGAGCAGGGGGAAGAGCGGCTTCAGGTATTCCTCCATGGGCGCCAGCACGCCGCTGGTCCTCTGCTGGCTGCTGCCCGGCTCCTCAGCGTGCGGGCTGTCTGATTCCTGCCTCAACCCGAAGCACAGCCTGCCATCAGGAGGGCTGTCAGGGCCCCACCCCACCCAGGTCAGCCGCGAGGGAAGACCCACGGGAAAGGACCTGGCTCCTGTCCCTCCGACACAGCCTGGTGGACGTGGGGCCCAGCTCAGGGCATGGGCAGACCCTGCCCTGTCACACACCCCACCTCTCCCAGGCCCCCAGAATTTCATTCTGAAGCCCCTCTGACACCTGATTCCCCTCTGGTCTCTGTTTATACCAAGGAGGGTGCCGCCTGTGGGGACAGGACGCCGTGAGATGACCCTGGGCACTGCAGAGCCCAGTTGGGTGGGCCCCCTCCTCAAGGGTCTGACGGGGTCCAAGGATTCGAGAAAGAGCCCTCACCACAACCTGGGCGGGTCGGTCCTCACCCACCTGGGATCTGGGCCCAGCGCCTGCCCGTCCCACCTGGTTCCCTGACCTGGGGCCTCACCGTGCCTGTGTTCTGGGTGGTGTCCTCACTGAGTRTCTGATCCTGGATCTGCTCATAGAACTGCTGGGCACTGGCCAACAGGTCTGAGAGGGCAGCTGGATTCACAGTTACACGAATGACCTTGCAGTGGCCTGTGGAGACCCAGACACACCCATGGTCCCCCTCCAGGGCTGAGCAGAGCCCCTGGGAGGGTGAGGAGGCAGGTTTGTCAAAGTACTTGGGAAGGACTCCCTGTGCAGGCACCCAGCCCAGTGCTGCTGTCCCCAGAGGGAGCTGCAGGACGGGTGGATCTTCCTCCCTGTGGAGTCGCCCGTCCTCCCGGGGAACCAGGAGGGGCAAGGCTGTGGTGCTGAGGAAGAAGGGTCAACAGATGGTGGGAGGCTTCAGGTGCTGCAGGGAGAGCAGAGCAGGGTGGTGGAGCCAGTTCCTCCAGACCCCTGGAAACACCTGGGTGCCTCTTCCTCGCCCGTTCTGGTCTGGCACAGCTGCCCCAGTGGGGCACCGGGCAGGCATTTGCCTCCTGGAAGTGAGAGGCCTGCAGCCCAAGGTGTCTCAGCTGGCTTCCCACAGCCCACCTGCAGAGCACCTGTCCAAGCCCAGACTCACCACCCACTTCCTGCACCTTCCCCTTGGCTGTGGGCTGGTGCTTGGGTCTCTCGTAGGCAGCGCCGTACAGACGGGTCCTGGGGCAGGATGTAGGGGTGCAGGTGAGTCCCCACAAGAGATGGGGTCAAGGCTTGTGGGTCCTGGGGAAGCCTGAAGGGGCCAGTTCTGCAACCACACACCCCGACAGGTGCCCTCCCATTGTGAGTGGCGGGCAGAGGCCGGGCCCAGGGCTGGCRTCAGACGGAGCAGGCACAGCGGTGTGGGGGACTTCTCAACCAGCAGTGCTGGTTCTCCTGCCACTGGGGACGCTCTGTGCAGACCAGCAAGAGCAGGCTGTCCAGCTTTCCAGCTCTCTGCTGCACTTCCACAGTGACCCCAGGTTCTCAAATCTAGGCCCACCCAGACCAGACACAGACACCCCGTGTAGGGATGGATCTCAGAGGTGGCCCCAGCCCTCAGATAAGGGGCCCACATCCCTCTACTGCAAGTGGGCCGTCCCAGCTGGGTCCACACCTCCCCAGTGGGCTTCTCCAACAAGGCCTCACCTGTCCTGTGAATGGTGCAGGAAGAGGACTCGGTAGGTGGGTGGAATCTCGTGCAGGAGATTGAAATGCTGCTCTGTTACACAGAGGTTCTGCCAGGCCTGTGTGAGGGGAGGCAAGGATGCACGGAGGACCTGGGGCTGGCTTCCACGGCTTTTCCACAAGAAGCAACCATAGCGGTAGGCATCCTGCAGAGCACTRGTCCAGAAGTCCTTCCCATGAATGGAAGTGACTCATGGCCACCACCAGGGGGCAGCAGGGAAAGCCACTGGCCAGTCAGAAATGTCCTATTCTGTCCACTTGTTGAGTGAGCAAAAACACAATGGAGCACCTGGCCCGTCCTGCCTCCTGCACCACAGAAGTGCAGGCACACGCAGACWCACACACACACACAGTGGTCCCTGGGGCGCTGAAGGAGGCCCTCTCTTGCCCAGCCCTTGGGGTGCTCTGTGGGGCCCTGGACTGTGGTCAGGGGTGGCTTCTGCCATTGTGCCCAGGCCTTTACACCCTGTGTACTGTGGGCCTTGGGCACTGAGGGTCCGGAGTGACAGAGACTCTGCACCCTGGCTTCTCCCTGTAGTGACAGAGGGCTGCTCACCTGGGCTAGGGGGTCTGGGCGGCCTGTGTCCTGTGTGTGAGCAGCCCTCCCTAGTCCAGCTGTGAATGCAGCTTCAGGTCCAAACTTTTCAACTAAGCCACAGAAAACCCACCTGAAAGGCAAGGTGGCTCTTTCTCCATGGGTCGTGCCCATGGCAGGTGAAGAGATGGTATGGCTGGCCTCACTGGCCGGCCCTTCCCCAGGGTTTCTGAGCAACTTCGGATGGCCCAGGCTGGCCCCTCTGCCCAGTGGCTCATGTCCAGCTCCAAGCAGGTGGCTCCTCTTTGCTGCCACATCTCTGACCCACTGCCGTGAAGGTGGCCATGAAGAGCCCTCCAGCATGTRTTCTCTGGAGCACAGTGAAGCATTTCTGGGGGGCCCAGAACCCAGCAGAACTGCTGGGGACTGCCGGCTCTGCCTGTTCTCCAGCGGGATCATGGTACCACCTTCAGCCAGGCTGACCAAGGGTCACCGTCAGAGGCCAGCCCCCATTTTCTTTTTTTGATATTTATTTTTTAGTTGTAGTTGGATACAATGCCTTTATTTTAGTTATTTATTTTTATGTGGTGCTGAGAATCGAACCCAGGGCCTCACACATGCTAGGCGAGCACTCTACCGCTGAGCCACAACCCCAGTCCCCAGCCCCCATTTTCTATTTAGCTATTCCAGTGGGTGTCTGTGGTTTTAAATTTTGCATTTCCTTGAAGACTAATGAACTCAAATACACTAAAAATGTCACTGGGCCTGTGAGTACATTCTGTCAAACCCGAGTCTTGGCCTGAGTGTTTGTCTTGTCAAGGAGGGATGCCTGCCCTTCAGCAGGCAGGACAGGACCTAGCCAGTGGTGTGCCCCGAGACCTCTGTGTCCCACTCTGTGTCCCCGTGGAGCTTTTCCTTCAGTGCACACCATCAATCACTTCTCCCCTTCCGCCGTTAGTGTTTCTCTCTCTCCCCACAAGGGAAGGAGTGTCACCTTCCCAGGAGCAGGACCTGGCACAGCTGCAGGCTCCCCACAAGGGGAGCCCAGGAGGGCAAGAGTGGCAGCTCTGTGGCTCACCTGCGAGGTATTGATAACACCAGGCCAGCCAGGTCATTCTTGCTGACCAAAGCTCAGGAGAACAGAGACAGGGCAGCAGCTGAAGGAGAAAATGGTCTCCTTTGTCCACACAGAGGACAGGTAGCTTAGTACCTGGAGCCTCCAGCCCAGGCACATGGACCTCTCTCCATTATTCCACTCGTCCTCACCTATGAACACGGACCTCTCTCCGCTTACTTCCTTGCTCCTCAGTCAAGATCATGGAGCCCTTCTCCATTTACTTGTGCTTCACCAACCTCACACAAGGCACCCTCATGTGCTCTGTTCTTCCTCGTCCATGGACACGGGACCTCTCTCCACTTCTCATTCTTCATTCCTCCTGAAGGGTTTGCAGTTTCATTATCTAGGTTCTATGAGTGGTTTCCTACGTGGTTCCCTACGTACTCACTTTCTGCCTTTTTTTTTTTTTGATGCCACTGAGAATGAGAAGGTATGATTTACACAATTTCCATTCTTCACTACTGTTTGTAGCTGGCATATAAAAATACAAGGAATGTTTGCAGATCGATACCTTGTAGTCTTTAACACAGTTGCTTTTCATGGTGATTCTGTTTGATGATCATAGTCTCTTTAGGACAGTTAAGGCTCACAATCATGTTGACCATGGGTTCTATTATTTGATCTTCTGTTTGAATATTTTCTATTTTTCTGGAGCATCACATATTATTTTTTTCAGAATCATTTCTATTTTGGGGTGATGTGGTGCACAGTCCTTTGTTACCTTTTTGGTGTCCTGTCTTTATGTTGCAAACATTGGAATTCCGTCTTTTCTCTCCTTTTCCTTTGATAGGTCTCAGTGTTTACTAGTCTTGCTGCCCTCCTCTGGGGGCCAGCTTTGCAGATGTTGGTTTTCTCTGCATCCAGTCTGCTGTCACCTTCATCTGCTCCCTTCATGCTCTGTTGATGTGGCTGCTGGCTGCTGGGCCTCTGGGGAAAGCCGGAGTYGTCTCTGGCCTCCTTCTCCTCTTCCAGGAGGCACCCCTCCTCAGAGCTCTGCTGGGGCCAAGTCTCCAGGTCTGCCCTGGGACCATTCCACTCTCTGTGTCCTAAGCTCCGTGGGCTTCCTTGCCGATGCGGGGGGTGATTCTGAGCATGCTGCCCACAGGCCTCATCGTCACTGATCTCCAGTCTGATGGTTGTGTTTGGAAACTGGGCCGGGGATCCCAGTCTCCTGGGTTGGCTGAGGCTGTGTGGCCCAGTGCTGGTGGGTTTGGTGGACATTCTGCTCRCTCGGGCATCAGTGGGGCAGCAGGCTCTGGCTGTCTCTAGACCACAGCCTCTGGCTTTCCCCTCTACCTGACCCCTAGGGACTGAGACAGTCTGCAGTGTCCCACCAGGACCGTGGGTTTGCCATGACTCCTTTATTCCTGTCCATGTTTTGTGTATTTCAAAACCACAGTTCTTGGTGGACGGTGACTCCTGGTTGGGCTGACCCCTGCACCATCAGGAGTGCCCCTCGTGCTAGTGACATACTGTCCCACGTCTGCTTTCATCTGATTTGTCTTTTTGTGATTTATGTGTTTTTCACTTTTACTTTCAACATTTCTGTGTCCTTATATGTAAAGTGCCTATTTAAGTAATGTACAGATAGTTTTTTTCCTCTTTTCTTAAAAAAAAAAAAAAAAAAAAAAACCTCAGGGGGCTGGAGTTGTGGCTCAGTGGTAGCATGCTTGTCTTGCACATGGGGGGCACTGGGTTCTATCCTTGGCACCCCATAAATAAATAAAATAATAAAATAAAGGTATTGTATCTGCCTACAACTAAAAAAAGGAAACCCAGGACTGGGCCCAGGGCTGTTGGCCACTGAGGGACAGCTTCAGCCCTTTTTATTCTGAGACAGGGTCTTGCCAAGTTGCCCAGRCTGTCCTTGAGCTCGAAACCTCCTGGCTCAGCCTCCCTAGGAGCTGGGCTGCCAGGTGTGGARCACTGTGCTGGCCTTTGTTTTTCTCTTATCCAGTCTGACTGTCTTGTCCTGGATGTGGAGTGTCTAGTCGATTTATACTGTAACTACCCGTATATTGCTTTTTCCCTACTACTGAACTCTGCTTGGCTACGGGGACCATCTCTTTTACATTTTTTTTTTTATCCTCTTGTGGACTGATGAAATACTTTTGTCAACGGTTGTATTGTACTGAGCTGGCCACAACATGTGTCCATGCCACCCTCGGGGCGTAACAGTCATCTCTGTGGCTGTGGTGGCTGGATCTTAAACTGTCTGCTCTTCCGGGACTGTAGCCTCCCACTGTGGCTGCAGCACTTGGCCCTGGCCCCTTCTCCATCCCCTCTTGACGATTTCTGCTTCTGTCTGGGTATTCCTCCCTGCCTGAGCCTCCTTCCAGCTTTTCTTTTGGTTTATTGTCCAGTTGCATTTTTATTACAAGGAYCTGAACATGCCCTTATTTGCCTTCATTCTGAGCCTCCGTATCCGGGACCGGCCGCTCTTCTCCAGCCGTGGAGGCGTGCAGGTCTCTCTGCTGCCTGAGGGCTGTCTTTGTGCTCTCTGCTCCCCTGTGCCCAGGGTGATTTTCTGGTGTCGTCCAGCGGGGGGTTGGTGGGGGTCGGAAGCCCACGCTCCTCAGCGTTAGAGGCTCTTGGCTTCCAGCCTGTGCACCCTGTGCTCTGGTGACGTTGCAGCGAGAGCAGGTGCTGGGCCCTCTGTCCCCAAGCCTCCTCTCCTGCTGGGCCTTCTCCTGTCTGTRTTCCAGCCCCCAGTCCAAGCTGAGGCTCCCATTCTGTTCCTGAAACCTGCACATCTGACTCTCCATCTGTGGTGGCCTCTATGGAAGCTTGTGGGACCAGAGGGTCCTGGAGACAGCTGGAACCCATGGTCTCCACTCAGTTTCCTGGGTCACTGCCTTCTGGAAGCTTTGAGGTGGACTCCAGTAAGCCCTGGACACTGCTGGGTCCCCCAGCTGGTGTCTCGTGCCCCGTGGGACCCACAGCCTGGTTTTTCCACCCCCGGGGCTGTGCTGATGTACTCCTTGTCCCCGCCTTCCCCACGAGGTGAGCATTGCCCTATCCCCAGTCCCAGGGCCCGGCTGGCAGCAGCAGCATGGGGCCCGCCCCCGGCTGGTGTGCTGGCGTCCAGTAGCGCTCACTCAGGTCCAGCCTCCTTGCTCGACACTTTCTCTGCTCTCAGGACTGGGCCAGCCTCAGACCTCCAGCCCCTGTTCCCGTCTCCCTCCTGGATCCAGGAGGCTGGGTTTCCGTTTTGGGCTGAAGGCACTGGTTCTTGGAGGGATGATTTGCTCCTCTTGGTAACACCTGGAGACGTTGTCTCAGGAGGGACAGGAGTGGAAATGCCCTGGTCCTTATGAGGGGGCAGGGATGCTGCCCCATATCCTCCAGTGAACAGGAGGCTCCCCTGACCCCATCAGCAGAGAAATCTAGCCCCAACTCTCCTAAGAAGAGTGGATGGAGGGAGCTGGAAGCAGTCAGGAGGACCTGGCCAGTGCTCCCACTGGTGTCCAGGAGGTGGAAGTTCACCTTTTCCCCCTCGATGCTCGGATTAAGCTGTGGTGTGAGTAACAGAAAGGCAGCTGCTGCCCGCTCTGGAGCCCCTCAGCACAGTGCGGCCACAGGGTTCTGAGCCAGCAGGGCTCCCGCAGACCCCGGTGGAGCACCCTCATCCAAACCCTCCCCACCCTAGCACTCGCAGCCGCCTTCAGAATGAGGGGTCACCATCCCACAAGGCCAGAAGGCCACGAGGCTCAGAGAGGTAGAGAGGCCTCCCAGAGCCACACAGCCCAAAGCCAGTAGCAGAACCTGGGCCTGAGCCTGCATGATCTAAAGCTGCCCTCTTGGCACTGGGGCAGATGGAAGGGGGTCCACAGGGTGTAGGAGATCACCTTGGAGATGGTGGCCAGCCTCTGCTCCACGCTGGCGAGCAGGCTGGTGGAAGTCTTGTCTTGTAGCTGTAGCTGGTGACGGAGCTGCAGCAGGGCTGCCAGCTGGGAGCTGCTGGTGTTGGCGGCGGCTGTGGACAGGATGCCCCGCATGACCTCGGAGGCTGTGCAGCTCTGGAACAGATCAGCCAGGTGCTGTGGGGGGAGGCTCACTGGGCTGGACGGAGGGCTGTGTGGCACACTCAGACTGTGTGGCACACTCCCCCGACAGCCACGCCTCTCCAGGCCACGCTCTCTGGTCTCTGTGCTTGCCCACTGTGGGGACTGGGGGAGCTCAGAGTGTGTTCACTTGAGCCCCAAGCACCTGTGGCTGGACTCTGCAGCTTCAGGCCCAGCCTCCTTCCAGCCAATGGCTGTGGCCAGGCCCATTGGCCTGCAGCTCTTCTCTCTAATGGAGCCTAATCCCAGCCAAAAGGGGCCCCTGGGTGCTGGGGGACGCCTTCTATACTCTGAGCTGCAGACACACAGGGCAGAGCCATACCTGAGACAGTGCCAGGAACTGGCAGGTGGCCACAGGGTCCAGGGTGCCGATGCATTCCACCATCTCAAGACTGGCGGCAGCTGCGATGCCCAGGAGGCCTCTGTCCAGGGCTACCTGCAGGCACTGCAGCAGCACCTCAGAGGTCTGGGCCAGGTACCTCTGGGCCAGCACCATCCTCCTCTGCAGGTAGAAAGGGCTCAGGCTCAGTGCTGTGCCGACAGAGGCCACTGGGGGGCAGCAGCAAGGCACATACCCTCAGACTCTCGCCCTTTCTGCAGTTCCCCTCGGGGGCTGCTCCGAGGGCTGGCAGGTCCCCGAGAAAGGCCTTGGCACTCTTGTTCTCTGCTTCTTGCTCTAGAGATCGGAGCCTGCTCAGCTTAGCGCCCACCTGCAAAGCACACAGAAGGAGGCAGAGGGCACTGTGGATTCCTGCTTGGTCAGCAGGGGCCCCTAGGGTCACTGTAGACCGTGGTCTGGCCTCCCACCGCCCGGAGCCTGCCTGCTTTTGTCCAAGCCTGGTTTAGTGGACTTGGGAAGGTTTTGGTCTGAGGGCCTGAGCTGATTGCCAGCTGCCACCAGGTGGGGAGGTGGCACCCAGGGAGCCCAAGCACCCTGATCTTGGGACAGAGGCATCATGCTGGCGTGGCAGCACCAAGCTGAGGTGCCCACCTGTGCTCTGGGAGCTCAGTCTGGCCAGGAAACAAACAGAAGGAAGGGAMGGGGAAGGGCAGGTCAAGGGAGAGTGGCCGGGGAACTGGGGCTGATGGTGAGCCCTGGGTGTGTGTGGCCCAGGGTCATAGTCCTAGTGGGACACTGCAGACTGTCTCAGTCCCTGGGGGTCAGGCAGAGGGAAATCCAGAGACTGTGCAGGGCCCAGGTGGCCTTGGTCTAGAGACAACCAGAGCCTGCTGCCCCACTGATGCCCGAGCGAGCAGAATGTCCACCAAACCCACCAGCACTGGGCCACACAGCCTCAGCCAACCCAGGAGACTGGGATCCCCGGCCCAGTTTCCAAACACAACCATCAGACTGGAGATCAGTGACGATGAGGCCTGTGGGCAGCATGCTCAGAATCACCCCCCGCATCGGCAAGGAAGCCCACGGAGCTTAGGACACAGAGAGTGAAATGGCCCCAGGGCAGACCTGGAGACTTGGCCCCAGCAGAGCTCYGAGGAGGGGTGCCTCCTGGAAGAGGAGAAGGAGGCCAGAGACGACTCCGGCTTTCCCCAGAGGCCCAGCAGCCAGGAGGAAGGAACCGGTAAGGTGAGACCCGGCCTGGGGTGGAGAGGTGTGTTTCATGGGGCCTGGTGGCCCCATGTGCGGGTTGATGCATCTCTGGGGACAGCCTCTGTGGGCCAGGGTGGTTAACACCATCACAGGATGCGACACCCACTCCGGCTCACACAGACCACGCTCAGAGGCACCTGGGTAGGTGCTCATGAACACTGGTCAGTGAAGAGCCAAAGCTCCATCAGTTCACCCTTAGGACGCAGGACACACTGGCTCCGGGATCACCAGGCTCACGGTCTCCTGCCAGGATTTGCACTGGTGCTCAGCCTGGTGGCCACAGTGTGCTCTGGGCAGGAAGAGGTGTTCTACAGGAGCCGGTCGGCAGGGAGGCCCTGGCTTGTGCGCTGGGCTGCCATCCTGGAGGAGGAGCCACCTCTGTGTGGGCTCTTGGGAGGGTACCTGGTGCATTCGGGGCTGTCCCTGGGGTCCTGAGTGTGTAGGCTGTTCCCACCAAAGCACCAGCCCGGGGAAGCAGACCAGCCCCCTACCCCAGGGATGGGCCCTGCCCTGGGGAACGGCCTCTCCCCGGCCCTGGGGGGTTGAAGTGAAAGGTCCCCACAGCCCTTCTCGGAGGTGCCTGGGCCCACCGGCTCAATGGGAGCTGAGCTTTGGTTTGGCTCCCTGGGTGGTGCATGTGGGTAGAGGGCCAGGGGCTACACTGTAACCGTTACGATGGCCAGAGGGGTGTGTGTGGGGTGCTTCTGAAGCTCCCAGGGGCCTGTGTGTGACCAGACTGAGGTGGGGAGACACCAAGGCAGACCCTTGGTCATCTCACCCCCAGGTGTACTGGGAAGCGGGATCACCTACCGAGAAGCCGTCTTCCCAGCACAAGTCGGGACGAAGAGGGTCTGCCTGCATGGCCAGCAGGTGCAGGGCCCTCCCGGCCAGGCCCAGGAGCCGGGCATGGATCTCCACGCAGCCGGCGCTCAGTGGCTGCAGGCTCTCCAGCTGTGCCAGCACCGAGTGGGCCAGGGTGCGCTTCAGCATGAACCATTGCTTCGGGGGGAGGAGAGGCTTTGTCAAGACCAGGGGCCTCTCTGCTGCCGTCTACCTGCCCACCACACTGTGCAGCCCACCAGCCCTTAACAGGCCCTGGGAGGTGGGGTGGGGGTCTCCAGGGCTTAGGTGTGGGAAGGCCAAACCGTGTTCTTATATAACCTTGACTGGCAGCTCACTGGAACATTAAGTTCAATTTCAGGGCTGTCTTTGGTTCATTTGTATTTATGTCAAATTGGTTTGATTCATATTTCATGATATCTAAGCAAATGTAAAATGGAAGAGTTCATATTTCCTTCCAAATATCTTGCATATTCAATTCATTTTTTGTTTTTGCTTTTGCGGTACTGGGGCTGGAACGGGGGCCTTGTGCTGCTGGGCAAGCCTGTACCCCTGAGCCACACCCCAGCCTGCMGCTGGGTCTTTTTAAGTGCAGTGTGGCCTTCCACTGTCCCTCTGCAGCCCACTGGCCACTCAGCTGAAGCCCAGCGCTATCACACCATTAGTCTCAAGACCTGGGGGACAACCCTGAGGTGGCACAGGGAGCACCTGGTCTACTTAGCCAGGTGAGCCCTCAAGTGACCAGATGACGGCTCTCCTCCCCAGGCTGGGAGCTCACAGCTGTGCAGGGCTGGCTGGGGTCCCCACTAGAGCCAAGGGTGCCCTAGGTGTGACTAGATGGAGGGTGGCCCGGCCCAGGCAGCCCCCGAGGAGATGTGTGCGGGGCTGCGTGGTCACCAGGCCGGTGGACGTGTAGTCGCTGGTGCTCTGCAGGTAGGTCTCGAGCAGCTTCTCCAGGGACCGTGGCTCCAGCTGCTCCAGCCCCTCCTCCCACATAAGCTGCAGCATGTCCAGGGACACCTCCACCAGGCTGAGCTTGTGGCGGGCCAGCTTCCTCATCAGGGGGGTGTTGGTGTTCTGCAGCTGACAGAGCCAGGCGGGCGTCAGGGCACTGGGCACTCTCAGTGCACCCGAGCCCACGCTTCAACAGTGCTAAGGGACAGAACGAAGCTGTGAGCATCTCAAGTGTGACATGCACACTCAAACCACCACCTCTGAGGCCACAAAGGTGCCCTTCCAYGTCCCTGGCCCTGGCCACCCCACACGCCACTGCCTCCGGAGCCTCTCTCCTAGGCAACCCCTGGGGCTTTCAGTGAGCTGCCTCTGTACCACCCTCTGGTGGACCACCCTCTGGCCCATCTTGGTGCGGCCGTTCTAGGTCTCTCCATGCTGTGGCCACATGCTTATTACGTTCCGAGTCAGTCGGCCCCACTGTGTGGGCTACTAGAACCCAGCTGCCGCGAGCACGGCACACCGGTGTTCCTCTGGATGGGCACATTCTCTCCGGGACAGGAGGGCATGCCTGGGGTGGGGTGCCAGGCCACCCCACAGCCCGAGTTTCACTCCTCTCAGGACTTCCAAGGGCCTTCCAAAGCAGTCCTACAGCTCCCATTCTCACGGCCTGAGGGTTCCAGCCTCCCCACACTCCTGCCACCATCCTCACAGGTGCACGGTTCTCACCGTGGTGACCTGGATTCTCTAACTGACTGACGATGCTTGTCTTCCATGAGCTTATTTACCATCTATACAGCTCCTTAGAGGAGATGTCTAAATTGTTCAAATATCTCCCTTTTTTTGTGATGCTGGGGTTTGAACCCAGGGCCTTGTGCCTGAGAGGCATCTGAGCTCTATCCCCAGCCCTATTTTCACTTGTTTTTGATTGGGCTACATGCTTTCTTAGTTAGCTTTTGAAAGTTCTTCATATACTCTGGATACGCTTTGCAAATAWTCCACTCCTGCCCCATCTGTGGCTTTTCTTTTCATCATTCTCTTAACAGTATCTTTTGAAAAGTCCAGTTTTTCAATTTATTCTTTTATGAATCATGCTTTGGGTGTCAAATAAAAGAAATCTTCAATCAGGTGTGGCAGTGCACACTTGTAATCCTAGGAACTCAGGAGGCTGAGACTGGAGGATCACAAATTTGAGGCTGGCAACTTAGGGAAACCCTTAGCAACTTAGTGAGAACCTGTCCCAAAATTTAAAAAAAAAAAAAAATATATATATATATATATATATGACTGGGGTTGTGATTGAGTGGTAAAGTGCATCTGGGTTCAATACCTCGTATCCCCCCCAAAAATGTGGGCCAAATCTGAGGCCACAGAGGTGTTTTCTGTGTTCTTCTAGATGTTTTATAACTCTAGGTCTTCTGCCTAGGACCACAGGCCATCTTGAGCTGACTCTTACATGCAGTATGAGGTAGGACTTGGGCTTCCRCTTTCTGGACTTATGCTTCCAGTTGTTCTAGCACCATTTAAACACTGTCCTTCCTGCTGTGGACAGCTTGGGCTCCTCTGTTGGGAGCCAGTCCCTGGTGTCTGTGTGTGCCTGCTTCTGGACTGCGCCAGATTGATCTGTTGGCCTGCTCTTACTCTAAAAGTATACTCTCAATTCCTGTAACTCTATAACAGGACTTAAAATCAAGTAGCATTAGATGTCTAATACTGTTCTTTTCCAAAGTTGTGTTGGCTGTGTAAGGCCTTTTGCATTTCCATATGAAATCTAATATCATTCTATTTCTATTAAAAATTCTGCAGATAATGTAGGGAGAATTGACATCCTAGCAATTAACTGTTCTGATCCATGAACCATATGGTTCTTCATTCACTTAGATCTTTTAATTTTTCTCAACAATGCTTTGTAGTTCTTAGGGTACAAATTTTCACATTTTGGGGGTAAAATTTCATTTTTTAAATGCTACCACAAATGATACTATTTTTTAATTTTTACTACCTGATTGATAGTTCCTCGTTCATAGAAATATACGATTGATTTTTGCATATTGTTCTTCTGTCTTGTGACCTGATTAAACTCATTGGTTAGCTTTAACTTAATTTGCTTATGAGCTTTAATTTAGCTTTACTAGTAGCTTTAATGTTTAATGAGTACATTGCAAATAATTTTCTATACCATCATGTTACTGTCAAGCTTCTTCCTACCCAAGCTGGATCCTTTTACTGTCTTTTTCTTGACTTATTGCATTGGCTAGAATTTCCTAAATAATGCTGGATAAAGTGGTACAAAGATACTGCCTGGCACTAGTCCTAATTAAAAGAAGGAAACATTCAGTCTTTTGTCAATAAGGATGACTTTAGCTATCGTTTGTTAATAGATACCTTTCCTTGGGTTGAGGGAATTTCCCTCTTCTGTATATGGATTTTTGTGTGTATGTGTGTGGGGGGTACCTTGGATTGAACTCAGGGGCACTTGACCACTGAGCCACATCCCCAGCCCAAGTTTGTATTTTATTTAGAGTCTCACTGAGCTGCTCAGTGCCTCGCTTTTGTTAAGGCTGGCTTTGAACTCGCCATCCTCCTGCCTCAGCCTCCTGAGCTGCTGGGATTACAGGCGTGCTCCACAGCGCCTGGCTTTGTCAAACAATATTCCTGCATCATATGGTTTTTATTTATTGGGTCAAAAATACGCTGAACCACATTTTTTAAATGTAAAATCATTCCTGAGATAACCCTAACTTGGTTATGATGTATTACCTTTTTTATATGTTGTTGGATTTAATTTYCTAGATTTTTGTTTAGGATTTTTTGTACTTTTATTCATGAGAAATATCTATTTTTTTKTTGTTGTTGTTTGCAATGTCTGTCTTATTTTGGAATCAGGGCAATAGTAGACTCATAGAAAAGTTGGGATGTATGCCCTCTTTTTCTACTTTCGGGAAGGATCTGTGCAGAGCTGGTATTATTTTTCTTGCATATTTGGTAGAATTCATTGTAGAGTCACCTGAGCCTGGCTTCTCCTCTGTGAGAGTACTCCCAAAGCAGATGAGATCCCTGGGCACAGAGCTGTCAGTCACCTCTTTCCTCCAGGGACTTGGTGGGTCATGCTTTAAAGGAGTCTGCTCACCTGAGTTGCCAGTTCACGACATTCCCTTTCTATGCTTTCACTCTCTGTGGAGTCGGTGGCAACGTTGCCTCCTTTTTGATATTAGCTACCTATGTCCTTTCTTTTTTGTYGTATCAAATTGACTAGAAGTATATTAACTTATTGGTCCTTCAAAGAACCAGCTTTGGCTTGGTAGGCTTCCTCTTTTCTGTTTTCTAATTCACTGATTTCCACTCTGACCTTTTAATTTCTATTCTTCTACTCATTTGGGTTTAGTTTGCTCTTTACTTGTTAAGGTGGAGAGTGGACTGAGATCTGATCTTTTTTTCTTTTTGCAGGTGCTTACTGCTGCAAACCCCAGGTCCCTGCCCAGGACTGCGCCAGAAACATCTTTGCAATGATGGACATTTCTTCCTTGAATTCAAACACTTTCCCTTTTGATTTCTTCTGTGGCCCATAGCTGTGTGAGTGTAGGCTTTTTAATTTCCAACTATTTGGGGCTTCCCACATATATAGCTTTTGATTTTTTGAATTGAGGTAAAAAGTATATAACATAAAATCAACCATTTTAAAGTGTAGAATCAGGGGCCACCACATGGTGCAAGCTTCAGCTCTTGTTCCTGAACATGTTCAACCCTCCTGGGAAAGGCCTTGTCCCCCAGGTCAGCCTTCACCTTCCTCACTGCACCCCYCACACCCCCTAGTCTGCTTCCAGTATCTGTGGATCCACCCATTTCAATTCTAACTCCATTGTGGTGCCAGTGCAGGCTTTGTCTGACTTAAATCCTTTGACTTCATTGAGACTTGTTTTATGGTACAGAATACAGTCTGTGTTGAAGGTTCTTTGGGCACATGAGAGAAGGTCATCCACTATCAGAGCCTATTGACTGACTGATTCAGATCCTCCAGTCCTTTGCTCGTTTTCTTCCTACTCATTCCACTAATGATTGAGAGGAAATTGAAATTTTTCACCATAATTGTAGATTTGTCTCTGTCTTCATTGTAATTTTAAAAAATCAGGTTTTACTTAATTTTTTTTTAGAAAATCAGCCACTTTGGAAAGTAGTATGGAGATTCCTCAAAAAATCTGGAATGGAACTAGCATATGAGCCAGCTATCCCCCTCTTTGGTATTTATCCAAAAGAGTCACTATAGTGACACTACATTCTCACGTTTATACAGTGCCGTCCACAATCACCAAGTTAGGGAATCACCTCCATGGGCTAATAAAATGTGGAGCATATACACAATGGAATTCTATCAGCTAAATAGAAGAATGAAATCATGGCATTTGCTGGCAAATGGATGGAACTCAGCAGATCCGAAAAGTTGAGAGTCAAATGTGAAAGCTAGAGAAAAGGAATTTAAATAAAAGGAGGAGGAATCTCATGAAAACAGGAGGAGGAAGAGTGGAGTAGGGGGTGGGGGTTGAGGGGGAGAGAGGAGGGACAGCAGGAGGCCACTGGCCCAATGAGTCTGTGTGTGGACGTGTGGACACATCACAGTGGAGGCCCTTTATGCCTAACCCTAATGCACCAATTTAGGAACAATAAATAAAGGGAAGGAAGACCAGAGAGCAGAGGGGGGCAGGTAGGAGGAGGGGAAGGGGAAGTGCTGGGGACCCTGGAGTAGGTCACCTTTGGTGTGTTCCTGCCAGGCACACGAGTGTCTGGAGAGCCAGGTCCTCCTGCCTAGTCCCGTGCAGGGCAGGGGAGCAGCTTCCCCAGACCCACTTATCTGACCAGTTGCGGCCACCCCACTTTTCCTGGGTCAGTGCTGGCTTGAGATACTTCCCACCCTCTCTGTCCTTGGGTCCATGTGCTTTCTGGCAGGTGTGCAGTGGTTTTGCTTCCTTACATGACCTGGCCACTGCTCAGGGCAGGCCCTCTCTGCCCTTGCCCAGTACCCCAGGCTGCTGCCGTTTCTCAGGGGGCTGCACAGAGCAGGCACTGCTTTTGCCCTGTTCCTACAATCCTCCAGGCTGCTCTGCCCAAGCTTGAKCAACTGGGCTGACCAGGCTCAGCTGCACATGCTGGGCACCTGACCACCTACGTGCAGCACTCTCCTTCCTGGGGCTCCATCCCACAGGATGCCTGCTTCTCAGCTCTCAGCTCTGTCACCTGAACTTGGGTAGCCGTCCCCACTGGGGCTTCCTGCCATGGCTGTGGCAGGCTTGGACTCTGGCTCAGGGCTGTGGTTTGCCGTATTAATGCTCAGTGTTCTGGCAGAGCAGGCCTCATGGGTTCTGTCTGTGTTCTGGTTGTGTAATGAGAGTGTGAACCTAGTCATGGCTGCTCCTCACACAGAAGCCTAGGGGAGTGAGCATGCAGATGGCCGGCAGTGCTCACAGAGCCCCACCACTCACCTCTTGAAGGGCCAGCAAACCTCGGATCCTATGAAACAGCTCTTCCTCTGCAGCCACAGCTTTCTGGATCAGGTCGTGTGCCTCCAAGTAATGTGTGACTTTGTGTTCTCTATCTGTCTCATTTTGGGCACAAAACCTTTGTAAGACATGAAGGTGGAATTAGGAACAGGCAGGTTAAACGTGCACCTCTGGTACCAACGAGTGTGGAGTGCTTCATCTCTGCATGCTGGAGCTGCTCACTGCGTCAGTACTGAGGGCACTTAATGAGACACTTACATGTGAAGCCTTCTCAGAACATTTCAAAGCTAAGGTGAGCTGCTGGAATGATGTGGCCTGCAGTCTCACCCTCTGCCTACAAACCGGGGGTCTGCCCAGGAGACGTCTGGGGAGCATCCCACAGCACCAGGCAAGGTGATCAGTTGTCCCCCACAGCACCTGCACGGCACTTGCATGGGATGGACACGTGGGCATCCAAGGTCGGTGGAGCATCCACCCTGGCCTTGCTGGAGGAGTGGGTCCTGCCCTGGGAACGGGGTGTGTGTGGGTGTGAACACAGTAGAGTCTGTGGAGGTGTGCATGTCTTCAGGGTGCCCCACCTGGGTGGACAGGAGCAGGAGGAGAGCAGAGTGTGACTCCAGACAGGTGGGACAGGGCAGAGGGAGTAGCTGCCCAGGACCCCGTGGGACTGCAGGGAGAGGGACAGGGATGAATGAGGGCTCAGGAGGGAGGCAGTGGGTATCCTCCATGAAGGGGCAAAGGCTGTGGCTGGGCCTGCTGTGGGCAGCAGGGCCCTGGGGTGCTCCACCACAGGTGGAATTGGGAACAAGGCCCTCACCTCTTTATCTTTGCACGCTGTAGTTTTATATTGACACAATTCTCCTCATAGCCACACTTAATAAAGTCTTCTTCAATTTTCAGCAGTTGATCATCCATCTCCTTGAACAAAACCCAGCAGTCAGGAAGTTTGCTGTGCTCTGAGTTCTGGGTGATTTGGATCCGAAGGTTCATGATCCTGCGGGGACAGAGGGGGCTCATGCATCTGCAGGGACAGAGGGGGCTCATGATCCTACAGGAACAGAGGAGGCTCATGCTCCTGCGGGGACAGAAGGAGCTCATGCTCCTGTGGGGACAGAGGGTGCTCATGCATCTGTGGGGACAGAGGGTGCTCATGCTCCTGCAGGGACAGAGGGGGCTCATGTATCTGTAGGGTCAGAGGGGGCTCATGATCCTACAGGAACAGAGGAGGTTCATGCTCCTGCGGGGACAGAGGGTGCTCATGCTCCTGTGGGGACAGAGGGTGCTCACGCTCCTGCAGGGACAGAGGGGGCTCATGTATCTGTAGGGTCAGAGGGGGCTCATGATCCTGTGAGGACAGAAGGGGCTCATGATCCTGTGGGGACAGAGGGTGCTCATGCTCCTGAGAGGACAGAGGGGGCTCATGCATGTGCGGGTACAGAGGGGGCTCATGCTCCTGTAGGGACAGAGGGGGCTCAGAATCCTGCAGGGACAGAGGAGGCTCATGATCCTGTGGGGAGAGAAGAGTCATGTTCCTGTGGAGACAGAAGGTGCTCATGCATCTGTGGGGACAAAGGGGGCTCATGCATCTGCAGGGACAGAGGGTGCTCATGCATCTGCAGGGACAGAAGGGGCTCATGCATCTGCAGGGACAGAGGGTGCTCATGCATCTGCAGGGACAGAAGGGGCTCATGCATCTGCAGGGACAGAAGGGGCTCATGCATCTGCGGGGACAGAGGGTGCTCATGCGTCTGCAGGGACAGAAGGGGCTCATGCATCTGCAGGGACAGAAGGGGCTCATGCTCCTGTGGGGACATAGTTCTGTCCAGGTATTTGGATTTGAGGTTTCTGTCTAGAATCAAAAGCCCCAGACCGTGGCGATGCTCTCACTCTCCAGTGTCTGCAGAGGGAGACTTGGTCAAACACCTTCAGCCTTTCTCACACACTGCAAGTCATGCAGTCCCATTCCTGGGTCAGACACAATGAAGTGAGACTAACAGTCCTGCTTCAGACATGATATCTATTTGGCAACTAAAAACATGTCCCTAAGTCACTTAGAAGTTAACAGAACACCATTGCCAAAGGTCTCAGACTAGACTGAAGGGACACTGCCAGTGGGACTCAGGTGCATGCACAGGACAGCTGCGGGCAGCTCCTTCTGCTGCAGTGAGCACCGCACGGAGAGCAAGCAGAAGCAGATAAAGCCAAGAGCATCCCCACTGCTGTGGTCCGTGAGTCAGAAGCCGCGGCTTCTCACAGAGACCCAGTAAGTGGAGCCCATGATTCTGCTCAGAGACAGAGGGAGGCTCCAGTCGCCCACCACCACTGGCCGAGCCTGAGAGAGGCTTCTGGGGCAGGGAGAAGCCCACGCCCAAGCTGGAGGGAGCACCCTGCGCACTCTGCCCACAGCACCTCCCCAAGCCAGGCTGCGGCCCTGAGCAAGCAGCACCCAGGGACCTGGAGATCCTGGAGACCATAGAAAGGGGTTGTGGCCCAGGCAGGAAGGTAGCCAGCGCCCTCGGGGGAGCTGGCCCTCTACCTGGCTTCCAGGTCCATGGTGAAGAACTTCAGTGTGTGCACTCGGTTAGGCCTGTCTTTCTGGAGGTGGCTGAAGGCATCCATGAGCTTCTTATATAGTCGGCAAGCCTGGGGACAACCAGCCCTGGTGTCACTGTGCTGCTCAGCAGGGCCAGGGACCGAGCCGCCCCTCGCCGGGCACCAAGGCTGCTGCACCCTGCATCTTCTCACCGCAGCTTCTCTCCCATTGTCTTCTGAGGACAAGACGGCGTCGGCCAGAGTCAGGGTCAAATTGTACCAAAACTCCTCACTTCCGCCCAGGCACTGGGCCTTCTCGATCATCCTCTTAGCTTGTCCATGGTTCTTCTCCTGGTTGGCCAGCTGGGCCAGGAGTAACAGGCACTGTGATTCTGCACAAGGATCCTTGAGCTCCTAAGGACACAGACGTATGGAGAGAGGAGAAAGTATGGGTGGGCTTGGGTGGCCCTGGGAACACAGGTGACCCTGGGACTTCTCTGGCAGCTGGAGACGAGGCCCCACCTTTGCCCTTGGAGTAGGACCTTTGTATGTGTTAAAACCTAGCTCAAGGGCTTGGGGACTGTCACAGTCCTGCAAAGCTGAGGACCAAATCCTGTTCCCTGAAGTGCTTTCCAGAGTGACTCCTGCCTGCCAACAGAGGTGGTCACTACCTGGGCTGGTTGCCTCCCAGCCTGGACAAGAGCCCATAGAGAGCTGCAGGTGCCTCTCCTGCAGGACTTCGTCTGCTGTGGGTTCCCCGCTGAGGATCGTTGTCCTGCTGCCCTGAGGTCTGGAGCCTTCTCGTGGAGGTGCTTTGGGCCTGCTTCCCATGCATGCCTACCTCTTGCTCTAGCTTCACTTAGTTTGGGTACATGATGGATACCATGTGGCCCCCGAGGCTCAGATGTGAGTGTGGACAGAGGTGCTCTCGGGAGGAGGTGTGTAGGGTGCTATCTGGGCAGAGAATGCCAGCTCCCCGAGACTCCTGGGCAGCTGCTTCACCCTGCCTGACCCTCCTCTTTTTGGGTTCCTGCTTGGGGAGAGGGCTCTAAGTTTAGGCCTGGACATTCCTCAGTGTCCAGAAAGGCTCAGGTAGCTCAGAGGCCAGTCTTGTCCTCACTGCCCCGTGGGCCTGCCAACCGCCTTGTAAATGCCAGAAAGGAGGGAGATTTATGGTAAGAACAGGAGGGAGAATCCAGTGGGGACAGCACCTGGACATCAGCGCCCCTTCAGCAGAGCAGGAAGGCTGCGTCCCCTGGTGCTGGGCAGCACTTTCTGAGAAGTGTGGAGTCCTGTGCAGCTTGGAGGAGACAGGAACTGCACACACCTGTGCCCTGACACCCCCACCTGTCCCCTGCCTGACACCCTCCACCTGTCCCCTGACAACCCCCACCTGTTCCCTGCCTGATACCCCCACACACCTGTTCCCTGCCTGATACCTCCACACACCTCTCCCCTGCCTGACACCCCACATACCTGTCCCCTGCCTGACATCCCCACCTGTCCTCTGCCAGATACCCCCTCACCTGTCCCCTGCCTGACACCCGCACCACCTGTCTCCTGCCTGACACCCCCACATACCTGTCCCCTTCCTTACACATCCACACATCTGTCCTGA